TTGCTGGGAAACGAGCGCTTTTTGAAGTCAACATGCATAATATCGTGTCATTAAGCTGGTGTGTGTTTTTTACACCTCTCAGTCAACAGAGAAATGGACTGCGAGGAACAGGGGTATTGGTGAGGGGGTGGCTGAGTTGGTGGTGGTTTTTATTTATTTATTTTTAGTTCCCTCAAGTGGAAAAACAGCCGATTATGGATCCTGAAAGACTGGCGTAGCATCAGTAATTACCAACAGTCCTACGTAAGACTGAGTGAAGTGGTAATGAAAAACTGACAGAGCATGAGGCACTTCTTCAGCAAGCTCCATTAGCCCGCAGCTCTGTTATCTTATGATGGAGATGCGATCAACAAACCGCAGACGCACCCTGGTAGAGGTATCTTCCTCGCACACACAGCTGTCTGCAGCCGTCACATCTCTCCGTCTTACGCAGCGTGTGTGTTTTCCTGTGAGCAATCTTCATTAAAGTGAGGTTTTTTTACCTTTGCCCTAGAGATTTTGTACCTTTTGTTGCTTGTCCTCTTTTCAGGCATGCAGATTTGTGCTGAAGAGGGAATTTCACACATACTAAGTTAGCAAAAGTTAACATTTACATACCGTTTTCCACTGTTATTGGGCTCTTTTAGTGTGTGACTGCAGGAGTTTTGGAGATCAAGGAAAGTGACAGAAGAAAGAAGCAGTTCTCTGTCTTCACTTTCCTGCCTATAAATTATGCATCTACAGTTGGAAAATACAGTCATAGGAATATAATTAAAGTCTTTCACATTTAGATATAACATACAGTGCTTTAAATTAACCTGCACACACTAATCTGATTTAATCTGTTGTCACTTCAAACCAGCTTCAAGAAGATTTTCAACCACTTAAACCAGCTAGTAGACCTGTAACAATAACTGCTTTTGTAGGATGATATATTGTCCCAGAAATAACTGCAATAAACTATATTATTGTCCATTTTGGCATATTTATGCCACTGATTTAATAATGCAAGTGCACCCTTTTTAAGTTCTTAAGAATATTCAGACATCCAATGTGGAATGTAAAAAAGATAAAAGATATCCTTTATAAATAAAATGCTTAGGCGCTGCGGTCGAGTCTTATAATATTGTTTATTCTGGTATCATGTTGGCTAAAATGTTCTCATGTAAACAAACACCGAGGTCAGCAAAAAACAAACCTTATGTCATACAAGAAGTCCATATTGTGACAGACGGTAATTACATATATGATGACGGGCCTATGTAGAAGGTGAAACCTGTACGATGTTCTCAAAGCTGTCAAAGCAATCACCGCAGCAGTTTTCCTCCATATTTCAGTAATTAAAACACGCAGAGAAGAGTTTATTGTGAGCAAAATGACTCACTATCACCCATTAAAGGTCCAGTGTGTAACATTTAGGAGGATCTTTTGGCAGAAATGGAATATAATATTCATAGATATGTTTTCATTAGTGTATAATCACATGATAGTTGTGTTGGTTACCTTAGAATGAGACATTTTTATCTACAGAGAGAGTGAATCCTGTCCGACAGAGGCTGCCATGTTTCTACAGTAGCTCAGAACGGACAGACCAAATACTCGCTCTAGATTGCACCTTTTGACGAGTTTTATGACCACTGTAGTTTCTCCTACACACTCAGAACGGGAAGGCTGTAATCTGCAACTACACCACTAGATGCCACTAAATCCCCCACACTGGACCTCTTTTAATACAGCAATATATAGCTAAAGTTTGCTAACGTTAGCCGGCTTTAACCACTATGATCTACTGGTCATAAAGCAAGGCTGTATCAGCAAAACCTGTGAGTGTAATGAAGGTGCGTTTCATTGCTTGTGAAATTTTCATTTACGAGAGTAAGAATCTGTTATTCCTCCTTTTAAACTGTCTTGAAAAACTAACAGGAATGGCTGTAAAAACTGACGAGTTCGTCTTCCTCCCTCCCGCTCGGCTGCAGGGGTGAACTTGTGAGGTAAATTGGCAGGCTTTGTGGATGTCAAAAAATAAAATGGGCGCATCTGTCAAAGAGCGTTCGAAGCGTTGGGCATTTGATAGATGTGAGTTGCATGAACAGATGTGCTGTTTAAAGTGGAGAAGATTTACTGCAGTAATGTGATGTGTGATGTTTTGGCAAAGAGTTACGCAATGCAGTTCTCTTGGTAACTTTTTCCAAAAAGACTATTTCTGCCTCCATGTCTTCTTCCCGTGCTCCGATTGGCCCACCTGCATATTGAAAAGCTGCGGATGTGTCCCATTACCCATCTGTCTCTGAGTGTGTCTCATTGTCGCAGCTGAGATGGCAAGGGGCAAGACTTATTAGGGATGTGTGCAGTTTCTCCTTGGTTAACTCCTGCCCTCATAACTATTCATCACTGGGAGCAGGCCTACAGCCAAGCCTACGGGTTTAGTCGGGACGCGTTCAGTCGGATGGTCAAGTGAATCATCAGGCCGAGGCGCATTAGAGAGCCGATCATAAATATGCATCGCGCAGATTGGAAAAATCACACTCACCCTGCAGTATGGATAGATTGTGGGTGCCCATCATGTTCCTCTAAACAAACAGAGCTAAAAATATTCCCCCGGTGTCAACTCAATGTACTCTCTCCTACACCACCATCAACGCCACATTTATCACTTATTCATATTTCTTCATATTCAGAAAACATAAACATCACACAGGAAAGAGCTGAGAATCAATCTCCTTCTCGCTATAGGACGACGGCGTTGAGCCACCGTGCTGCAGATTTAAAGACACTTTGAACACTTTCCCCTGATGCTGCTTCCTGTGTGCAACCTCACTCAATCTCAGCACACAGGAAGGATGGAAGGCGGACGTTACAGGTGCAGATTTGCGGTTTTGTAATTTATTTGTGCAAGTGAGGATTGTAATTGTGTGTGTGTTTTTGTGTTTGTGCATGTATTGATGTGGGAGGCCCCCGCGCTGGGGGCCAACCACATGTTTACATCACTTGTAATGAAATTAGAGCCGCGTGGCGCCCACACTACAGGCCTCCACTGATCCTCTAATTCAATTACCCCCCTTATTAACGCTCAGATGCTGCTGGCTGACCCAGGACCGCGCTGTGCTTTTACTACACACCATTCTCTCAGCAGCCCTTTCTGCTCCTCCAGTGGACTGACTAGTTATCAGTCGTCATCCTGCTGATGCAGCGGGGTCGTCCGGGTTCCTCCTTGATATCGATGTGTTTGTTTATGGCTGAGTCTGGTGGCGAGTGCAGATTGAGAATCTAGAGTAAGATTGGAGCATATTTCAGCCTGTGTCTCATCAATTCTTGCTAGACCTGCAGTGATTATTTATAATATCCACTAATTTAGTGATTGTTTGTATGTAAGGTGTCAAAATGCTAAAATGCTAGGCTACAGGCTAAAAACACTGAGGTGTAGATTCAGACTCTCAGTTTATCCTGTACCTTTTTTTTCTCAGTCTGATCCAGGTTTGTTAAGGACAAAGCTTAAGTGTGCAACATCAACAGGTATTATTTGCACCCTGATGGTTGAAAATAGCTTTTTAGATTTTTGTCAGTGGCTTTCTCATTTGTTTTATAGACACTTCAAGCTGACTGTATTTCCATCTGGACCTCGTCCAGTTGTATGCAACCTCCGACTGAGATATTATTGCCTCTTTTCTTGTCAATAGCTTCCTCATTTTTTATCATACAGACACTTTGGACCAACTCAACGTTCATTTGCGTCCCCCCCCCCATTACATACACTGCAGTTTTTATTTTTAATTTATGGTCTTCCCACTTTAAAACCTCCTGTTGTATTTCCACTATTAAGTTCCTCCCAGACTATTAACAGTTACACATATACTCATGAGCAGTTCAAATGTCAGTAGGAAACAATTCAACACAAAAAGTGAAGTATTGAAGCGTTTTCTAAGTTTTGGTGTCTGCTCTGTCCACTTCTGAAAATGGATGATAAATATAAATATTTTCCGCCATAAACAGATACAGGCATTAGCATTACATTAGATATAATGGACAGAGCTTTCAGGTCTGTGAAGTGATGCAGGGGCAGCTCCATTAGCTGCAAAAAAGTATGATAGTATTGAGTCTTATGGAGAAATGAGCCGACTTCTCTCTTGATTTATGAGCTCAGTAAACACTTTCCTAATGAGTTTATGGTCTCAATCTCTAGTTTTAAATCTTCTTCCATACAGCATGATGTTCATTTAGTAAACGATGGTCCCAATTATAGTAAAACAGACCATAAAACAGGGTATGCTTTAGGGCGGGGCTACCTTGTGATTGACAGCTCATTCTCAGTGAGTCCGTCCAGCTCAACGCACCAAACTCAGATCAAACTGTCAAACTAGGCAGTGCTGATCAGAAATTGATCCAGATAAGTTGATTATTTCTCTCCTAAAATCTTAACAGCAACATATTTTCGTGAACTGTTTATCTGTATTATGAGATCATGTGTGGACAAACCAATAGGTGACGTCACAATGGGTTCACACATGGATATTAACTTTTCATATCACCCCTTCAAGGAACCAACAGGTTCCCAGTTCATCTTGCAGTGATATTTAATAGAAGAAGGAAGTAAAATGTGAGGTAAACATTGATATTTAGTACTTCTTACTTTTACTTAAAGCCCCCTACAAGGAACTTTCATTTTGTGTTGATAGTGGCTGCCCCTGTGGACAAAAGTGGTTTCTACCTCCTCGTTTTATTGATTTCAAGGAGAATCTGACCCGGTGGCATAACCATTTTGTTTATGTAGGTCATATAGAGGCAGCAAGCAGTATTGAATTGAGACTGTTTCATAACCAGTTAAAAACTCCTTGTAGTACCTTTTTTAATAATCAGATAATTGTTTCAACACTAATCAATGCACAGAGAAACAACAAGCTGTAAACATGGTTCTGACTCCTGTCTTGATTTCCTGACTGAGATACAAGCCTTGAATGTAAACTGTAAGACTGTGTTGCTGTTGGAACGAGGCCCATTGCCTCTCCGCTGTAACAGGTCTGCAAGGAGCTGGCGGGGATGTATGGCATGATTTAACAAGCAGGGTGTTTCTGGTGCCAGCACGCACACAGACAAGGGCAAACACACACACAAACATACGTACACACACAGCACTGTATGTAGTCAGTGGCTGGGCCTTTACTTTACCAGATAACGGTACACTTATGATTCTAAGATAAACGTTTATCGCAGCCTCATCAAAGATAGCAGAGAGAGGGAGAGAGTCCTTTCCAGTCTCCTCCAGGGTCAGGTGTTTCCGAGCCTGCTGACACCAGCCACCTACATCTACAGTCTGGCCTGTCGTGATGGCCATGGGCTTCAGCATCACACCGCTCTCTCTGTATTCACTCAGCAGTGGCGTGGCACCATTTCAGAGAAGAAAATCACCATTGCTGCAAAACATACAGATTTGTATGGAAGCCCATTTCTGCCAATGTGAAGTCATTATAATGAGAAACTTTCTCAAAATAATGACTTCATATCACAAAGTCATTATTTTAAGATGCTAAGTCAAAATATGAGAAACTCTCAATTATTTTGAGATACTAAGTCAATATTTTTTAGAAACTTTCTCATTATTTTGTCTAACATAATCTTTATTTTCCTCCTCACACGGGCGGAAATGAGCTTCCATAGATTTAAGATGCTGGTACAGTAAGGTTAAGTACAACATTTAAAATAAAAATACACGTAGTCCTGACAGTATCTTAAAATGCTGAACTAAAAGGGAGTACATTAAAAATAGCAGTAGAAACATTTGCTTCATATCACAGATTAAAAATGCTGGGGGGGGGGAAGTGTCTGAAGTTAAGCCGGTTAATGGGTTTATCACAGGTTTGCAGAATCCCCTGTCTTTTGACCCGCTTGAGTGCATGCATGATACAATGAGGCTAAATCATCTCATGCCCATATTCAGGATTTCAAAGCTAAATCTCTGCCAAGTTTCTCAATCTGTAGCCACTGCATTGAGCTTATTAAAATTTCAATCTGCTACAGGCTCTCTTTCTCGCCTCGCAGGATGAATGTGCCCTTTTAATAATGTAACCGGTTTTAACAAGATCGTAAAATGTTCATCTAACTTTCATAAGCCCTGTTAGCAAAGTGACAAATTCATGTGATGGCAGGAATCACTTTGGCAGTCCCTCAGTTTTAGAAATGAGAACACAGTTTTTTTTCTTTCTTTCGGCGCAGTTCCAGGGAGGCCGGAGACTTGTGCCTAAGTTTACAGCCGCCTGCGGGGGGGAAGGCAGTTGCTGTGTCACCCCTGTGGCTCTGAAATAGAGGTTAGTCATGATGGGGGAGATTTAGATTGGCCTTCTGGTAACTGATAGTGCTCCACTGAACACTCCCCTTCTCCTCTGCCTCATCTATAATGTACATGAGTTACACAGGGCTAAACCCTGAAAACGCTTTTTTCAGACGCAGCTCGGAGCATCTGCACACGTGATGGCTTTTATAATCCATTTATGACTGATGAGCTCTCTCTGTTTTTACACTCTTTAATACAGTGTGTAGTTCAGTGACATTAGGTGAACTGGGGCAGGGTCAGGGTGGCGTGAATGCAAAAGCTGCTGGCTGATTTAGCTGAGTGTGTGTGTGTGTGTGTGTGTGTGTGCTTGGTGCTCTCAGGCGTTGTTGGAGTAATGTGACCTTCATAGGGAGATTAAAATATGTAGCAGGCGTGCATTGATTTTTGGACTGGCTATTGGTATTTATGGACTCAGCCAGTGCATAAATATTGATACTCACTCTCCCTAAAGAAAGATGTGACTTTATCTATCTGTGTGTTTGAGCGCTCATGCACCGGATGAATTAAAAACATATGATGAAGATAGCACCTGATAAAATAAGAGTAATTGGTAGCTCATGTGTTTCGGTAACCTAAATCTGCTGGGTCACCCAGCAGCAGCTTAATAAGGTCATTCCCATTATGTGGTGGCTAATTACAATGCCTGTCGTTGAAGTCCCCAAGCTGCACGGTCAAGTAAAAGAGCAGTTTAAAGGGACAGTTCACATGTAAACACAATAAAAGTTGTTTTTCCTTCAAACCAGGGTGCTGTTTATCCATTTATTTTGACATTTTTAGCCATGCTAGCGATGTGGCTCTATGGATGGACCAATATTATTGGCCAATATTAACTTATCACAGATATATTGGTATCATATTGGCGTATATCTAGTGTGGGATTGTTTTCCATTATACATTTACAGGGTAAATATTATTTAATGGAGTTATTTGTTAGAGAAAGCAGCCTTCTGAGTACCTTTGCAAAATCATATAGGTGCAAAATCCAGCTCAGAAAATCCCCTTAATCAGCCGCCATATTGGTAATCGGTGAAGTTTTCCCCCCTCTAAAATCAGTATGGGTCTCAAAAAACCATATTGGTCGGGCTCTAGTCTGTTGGTTGGTTGGTTGGTCCACCATTAAGGTCCAGACTGAAATATCTCACTAGCTGTTGCATGTGGACAGATAGCCATACATTATAAGATAGAAAGTTGTGTGGTGTAAACAATGCAGCGACTTTGAAAGTTATTGTTTATGTAAGGATCCCCATTTAAAGCACATGTGTGTGCCTTTTATTCTCCCTGGTAGGGTAAGGTATGATACACAACAGGAATCCTGAACCAGAATCGTTGGGGACGCTGTATTTATTTGGTATGTACCTTTATCACCTGGCCGCCATCGCCCCTGTCCATCAATACTACTACAACTACTACTACATACTCCGGATTAGCTCCAAAAATACGGTTCACTCAGCGGCAAATGCTCTTAATACAGCATGTTTTTTAAAATTATTTATCTTTTTATTTCATAAATATACTGACTTGTAAAACACCGGCTTTATTTTGAAATCTTTGTGTAATTGTAAATCATCAGGAGGTTGGTGATTGTGCTCAGTCTAGTGCCCCTTAATTAGATTGGTGCCTGGGTGGAATTAAAGGCCAACGATGGCTGCCAGCGTTTCTCATACAGACAGAGGAGCTGACTGATAAGCCGGCCACTCACGGTGTCAGAGGAGTTGCGATGAGCTGTGTCTGTGTCTGGAGTGCTGTTATTGTATCCCGCCATAACCCTCTCTCGCTTCCTCCAATTGCTCCTTTGTCTCAGTCGGGAATGCTTGTTCATCAGAGCGTTTTGTTCAGCGGTTAGGCGTTTTTTTTCTTTCTTTCTTGGAGCTTGTTGTTGACAGTTAAGCTCAGACTATAGACTACATTTGAGATGCCATGCGCTGTGAGGTTTTGTTCTTTAGTAGGTACTTTGGGATGAGTGTGAGGGGCAAGTGGTCCTGACAGAACGACTTGGGGATGACTCACCCTGCTGACATGACTTTTTGTCCGAGTTCACCAGAAAAAGGTTGTTTTCTGGGTCATTTGCTTAGATTGCATCTCGCTTTGTCTACTTTTCGCTCTCTTTCTCAGTTTTTATTTTTCTCTCAGGTCTCAGGTATCACACAGCTTTCCGGTGAGATGAAAGCCAGCTCGGGAAAGTCCTGTGAATGTGCCGATTAAAGCAAAACCTGAGTGAATAAACATCCACTATATTTTGAATATTTTATCGGCATCCAAAAAAGATAGCAGGGAGCCAATGCCCCGCTCTCAGAGCTGCATCTAAATGTACTCTGCTAACTTAAAGCGTAGTCTGACAGAGGTCTTAAAGAGCAAAATATGGCACTGAGCCACTTACTGGGGACTGAATATTTAACTTGTGCTGCCTTGGAGAGTAAGAGAAGACTAGAAAATGGCTGGGAGTCAAAAAAACTGTCCGTTACCACGTGGCCGTTATGTTGGCCTGGTTCATATTACTTTACTGTGTCTGTGATGGCGTGTTATTGGCGGACTGACGCTATCCCAGCATGCAGTAATTTAATCAGCAGGCTTGGATAGCAGCATGGACTTCGGCTGAACTTCAGGATCAGGTTGCAGACCGCAGTTTCAGAGTTCTGTGAGCAGAGGTCCGTCTACCTTGCTCGCTCGTCTCTGCTACAGTCCGGACAGACTCTTGGAGACAGCAAACCTACCTGTTTACTACCTGCTACTTGTCTGGACATGAGGGAACTAGTCTTCAAGGCTTGCACTGTCTCTGTGTGGGAGAAGGTAAGGCCAGGCCGGTGAGAAGAGAAAGTAACCTACAGTGAGGGTGAGAATTCAGGAGGTCAGTGGGAAGTTTGGTCAGGCGGATTGAAGTATGTCTGTTTGATGTTTTCACGAAGGGACAAGTAGCCAGTTTCTGTCAATGTCAAAGTCTCCTGACCTGTTCTTTCAGCAAATACTCTAATCTTCTAAAAGAAGATTAAAGTATTCGCAGAATTTAATGTTTCATTGTTAACAAGTGCTTTTTTATCCAATTTCCCTTTTCAAATTCAGTTTGGGTGATGTTAATGTAAACCGTTTACTATGTAACATGTTGACATTAACAAGGCATTTAGTCTCATATCCAGTATTAATTTTTACATAAAGCCTAAGAGCTTGAGATAGCTCTGCCTCCTCCGTCTCCCGAACTTTCTAGAAACAAGCATCATTACTTCATGAAACAGGGCACAAAGGGGCAGATTCCTCCAGCTGACAGTGGATTTAGTTAGAGCTTAACTTTCAGGGAGCTCACTTTGTTGGCTCTGATGATAGATGATACATTTTATGCAAGTGAGCTGGGCTGCAAACCACCAAAAATGTTCATTATTTTTAAAATTTGATTAATCATTTAAGTCTATAAAACATCCGAAAATAGTTAAAATGTTTGTCAGACAAAATAAAACAGGAACTTGTGATAAACAGTCCAATATCCAAAAATATTCAGTTTGCAATATAAAAAAGACAAAAGCAGTAAATCCTTATATTAAAGGTGCTGGAAGCAGATAATATTTTAATATAGTAGTTCTTACTTTAAAGGTCCAGTGTGTAACATTTAGGAGGAAATATAATATCATATTCATAGGTATGTTTTTATTAGTGTATAATCACCTGAAAATAAGAATCACTGTGTTTTCGTTACCTTGGAATGAGACAATTTTATCTACAGAGGGAGCCATGTTGAACCGTCATGTTTCTACATTAGCCCAGAATGGACAAACCAAACACTGGCTCTAGATAGGGTTCACGTTTTTTACAGCCTCCTACATACTTGGACAAACCAAACACTGGCTCTAGATAGGGTTCACGTTTTTTACAGCCTCCTACATACTTGGAACTGGAGGGTGAGGTGAGGGTTTCGCAATCATGGAGATGTAAATATAACACTGGCTCTAGATGGCTCACGAGTTTCCTTTAAGTTAATTATTAAAGGACCAGTATGTAGGATTTAGTGGCCTCTAGTGGTGAAGTTGCAGATTGCGTCTAGGAAAAACTACGGTGGCCGCAAGACTGTTGCCTGTCAATCAATTTGCGTAATTATTCCAGCTCTAAAAATGACCTTTTTTAAGATTTAATTAACAGAATTTTGGATGTATGTGTGAGCTGCCTCTAGTGGTACGCAAATGTATTTATAAACATATCATATATACATATTATACTATCAAAATACTACAGAATTTTATCATGACAATTTGTTTATTTTGTTTTAGCGTTCATGCACGTAATGCTCGCATACGTCCATGCTTTGTTACGAGCTAAAATGTGATTGCAGTGGTTCAAAAACACTGCAGGCGTGGCTCCAACAGGAACTATTGGGAAGAGAAGTATGGACCAGGAGGACTCCTTTTCCACCAAATTAGCTCAACAGTCAATAATAAATAAATAAATAAATCTTCTTATTAGGAATAAACCTGCCTCCTGTGTGAACTGTCTGTAGCTGAATAGTGTCGGCCTACGCTGCTGTATCTTAACAATGGACATAATGGTGGTACTTCGAGAGCCTGATATTTTCTACCTGGTATAAAAAGTTTGAAGAACACTATAAACACACTATACCACGTGAACAAAAGAGGAGCGTGCAGGGCCGTGTTCATTACAGTAACATGACCAGAGTGGAAAGTCACTCATTATTATTCAAACATTAAGCCCTACCCAATAGGGCCTGATCATTCAATAGGCTACACTGGAGCTGCTGTGCTGACCTGTTGTTGCATAATGCCGAGCTAGCATATACATTTACCAGCTGGGAGTCCTTTACCTGCTGTTGTTTGTGTATTTGTGGTGGATATTAAGCCGATTAAAGAGGCAGGGCGTCTGGTATTTCCTTGCTGCATTGCTGCCATAAGCACTGCCTTCGACTTAAAGAATGCCTCTCCCCTCTTTCTCTCTCTGCACTGACGATGACTCACACTCCAACACACCCTGCAGAAATCTCCTCTCATGCATCCGAGAGAGAGAGAGAGAGAGGGAGAGGGAGAGGGAGAAGGAGATAGGGAGGGATGTGTTCTTTTACGTGGCTCTAACACACAATACCTGTTCATGTGTCCTGATCTACCTGCTGTGTCTGTCTGCTTACAGAAATACCTGTACTCATCAGTATTCCCTATGGTTCCCTGCAGGGCGGAAATGCAGCTGGTGTTTTTGCACTGCTTGACCCTTGGGTGTATTTTGCATTTATTCGGGCAACCGAGGGGCTTCAAGAGTGCATTTACATTCATCGGATGCATTTAATACCTCCCTAAAAAAAGAGAAGGGAGCCCACGTTTGAGGTCTTTATTTTAGCAGAGGGACTTGAGAGTCAGATCAAAGCATTAGCAAACATTGCATCCATAAAGACTTAGGTGCAAAGGTGCCATTTATAGATTGTTCTCGTGATCCTCTCACCGTGGGCTGCCCTCCAGTGAGCGAGCTAACATTGTGTGACATTTGCAGTGATGCTGAAGTCCAGCCTGCACGTGCTGCAGTGCCGTAGGTCCGCTGCCCTCGGGCCTCCGCTTCTCTGGAAATAGAAAAAGAGCAAAGAGACCGAGCGTGATTAATGGCCATGTATGTGCAGCATAAAACACAACAGGCCTGTCTGCCGCCATTTCCTAACACACGGCCCCACAGGCTGAGAATTACATAACAGAATCTGCGAAGTTGCTCATGCTGATTCTTAATTGCTGCGGTTCGTTTATTGTGTGTGATTGCGGCTGCGCGGCCTTGTGCGACACACGCGTGTCAGGTGGGATAACAGTCTCGCCGAGATGTGAGCGGTTTCAGATTCTGAGTGGTTTGCCCTGCAACGGATCGCTCTCCTCTTATTTACCATGCCCCCCAGTTCAGCTCTCAGGACCGTCTTTGGAAGAAATGTTTTATCCCCCCCCCCCCTTGCCAGTCTGGATTTGACTGGCACTCTGTTTTTTTCTGTTAAGAATGTGCTATTTTTAGCGCACTGTGTCAAAACACGGCTGTCTCATCCTGTGTATGTATGTGCTCACTGAAATAACTTCCCTTCCCCAGAAGGCTTGAGTGGTCTCTTCAGCTTCATGTGCTGAAGCCCCGTTTGTTGTGCTTCACACTGCATGCAGACCCATTACGCAACCCTGTGCATCAGCCGTGGGGCCACCGGGCCAGAATGGCAGCCAGCTACCAATCACTCTCCTTCCCGTCTTCCCTTTTTCTTTCTCAGTCTCTCTGTTTTTACCCTGACCCCTCTTTGTTCCTTTCTTAGTTGGGACTTCTCAAGGTAAAGGAGGCTGCATGGTGCACTGATTTGCTTGTATACCAAATTACAGCAGTGTGTTTTTTAGGGAGTGGGTAAAAGCTGTGTAGTGCCGCTGGCATGCAGTGCGGTTCTCTCTCGGTGTACTGGAGTGTGAAGGCAGGTCAGTGGGGGCCAGCGGAAGAGGAGAGGATGATCTGTCCTTTGATGTCAGTGGGCTTCCTGCGCGCTCTGCCTCATCTTAATGCAAAGTAGAGGGTTGCATTTTCAGAAATATCAGACCTCTGAATGGATATAGTCTGCAATACTCCACTACTTGTTCGATCTGCCATATTCCACAGTGCTCTTGGCAGGTTTAAGAGAGCCTTGAATGTGCCCTGAATTCATAATAAGTGTAAACATGCAGGTAATCAGATTTCATTGTATGTCTGTAAGTGATGGTTTCCTAGTTAGGATTTTATTTAAGGAGGACCTAATTTCCAGCTCTATAGACTCCACTCGAGTATCTTTGCATAATTCTCTCTTCCATAACATCTTTCTTAATCTTATACTCGGCCTTCATGCAGCCAGTTCATCCTCTGTCTGAAGCCAGTTGTCTCTTTTAGTCCCCCCACCCAGCTTTCTTCTGATTGGCCAACTTTATAAGCTCCCAGTCCAGTAGCCGCAAGTGTAGTGGCCTAGCCGTGTAATAACAGCGATGGCGTCCGTCGCGTGATGCACATTGGCCCAAAAATACTTTTTCCTGTAAGGTTACATTGTAAAAGAAGCGGCTGTAACACATTTTGTGTCAAACCAACAATCAGAATTTTATCCATTCCGTCCGATAACATTTTGAAAGTCTAGAAGACTTGAGCAGCTTTCATAGGAAGTAACGTGGCGCCGCCTCCAACATTGCATCCAGCTCTCTCTATACATCCACGGTTAGCAGCAGTTTAGGGTTAGCTAATAGATACAAGTAAATGTCCATCAGTGAACTCCTTTAAATCCCTGAGAGTTACAGCAGAAAAGAACAACTGAAAAAGCATTTTCTGCATACAAACATTAGTGCTTAGTTTAAACATGGATATAGCATAGTCATAACTTTATAGCCTAAATTAAAATGAAGTTACCTGATATATCGGGTCTTGCACCGATACTCTGCCATGTGAATGACCTCCCATCAATGTCCCGGTAACTGTTTATAGTTCAGGAACTCCGGCAGCAGATGGCCTGACCTTAGCTTAGCTTAGCACAAAGACTGGAATGGAAACAGAGAAACAAACAGCCTGGGTCTGTCCAGAAGTAAAAAATAACACTACCACTACTACTGCTGTAGCAACACCTCTAAAGCTCACTGTTTAATACGTACATTGCTTTAATCTGTACAGAAGTTTCCAGTCTTTATGCTTTAACCTAACGGGTTGCTGGTTGTAGTGTCTTCTTTAAAGGACGGATATGATCCGTGGTATCTATCTTGTCGTCTAAATGTCAACAAGACAACAAAATGTCGCAAACTCTTTAAGTCATAAGAGTGGAGTAGTTAGAGTTTTAGGTACTAACTGAACCACGTTCTGTGCAAACTTCTGCAATTTCTGCAACACACATCGTAACAACTTTGGAATTTAAACAGAGAAATTACAGGCAGATTATGTTCCACAAATTAAAAGCCCATTATCTTCCATTTAAGTCCACTCAGTGTGTGGAGAGTATGACTGCTTTGACATCTCACACTCACTGAACCTCAGACATCAACATTTAGCTGAGACTCCATTAAGGTGGTAAATGAGCCTCAGACGGATACTTGAAGTAGTTCAGAGTTTTAATTAAATTAACTGGGATATCAGAGGAGTTATGTTGACCCTCTCACGCTCGCTTTCACTCACATGCCGCCTATTTTATTCCCTCTGTTGCATTACCTTTTAAAGTATGAAAAATGAGACATTCTCTATGATAACACAATCCACGACAGTGCAGTATGTGTGCGAAGAAAAAAGACTTTTAGAGTGGCACTGTATTCTCTGTGGGGAAATGAGAACTTGTATGTAGATGTAAAACCTTTTGCCAAACAGCGTCTCTTCAGTTTCAACTACAAACTTTTGCTTTGCCAGCACAAATGCCATGGTAACTGCTGAGAGCGGTGCAACATTTGCTTAAGTGTTCTCAGTGGAAAGATAATCAGCGTGGTCCTGTGTTACACAAAGAGAAGAATATGGCTTATTCTGCAATGTGTATTCTCTGACTGTACTTGACTTGTTACTGTATGCTATGCTAGCAGCTATGCAAAAGGACGATACAGTGTAAAAGCGGACATGCTTGTTGTGTTCAGACTTTTTAAACATACTAGCAGTGTATGAGGGCTATTTGTAGTGAGTTCCAGTAAGCCTAAACTGCTTGGATCAGTGCTAGTGTTGGCTCTGTTCCCTCCAGACCAGCCCCTGCTGAGTGGAGGCAGCACAAATGGCTGGCGGTACAGTAGTGTCCTTTCTGAGAACACACACACACACACACACACACACACACACACACACACACATTCTACACTGCTCTCACTCAGGTCAAGCCAAGTCAAGTCAATTTTATTTATACAGTCCAATATCGCAAATCACAATTTGCCTCTGGGGGCTTCACAGTCTGTAGAGCATACGCAACCTCTATCCTTAGACCCTCGATTCAGATAAGGATAAACTCCTTTAACAGGGAAATAAATGGAAGAATCCTCAGGAAGAGCCACGGAGAATGGACAGTCATGCAATAGCAAAAAAATCCTGAATAAGATGCATGAGAGCTGGAAGCTTTTAGCTGCTGCTCCTACACATGGACTGTAGAAATAAAAATGGATGTTGTCTCAATGACGTCACCCATAGCTTTCTGAAGAGCTTAATTTCTCCTGACTCCGCCGGCTCCACTGCTTAATCCAAAAATGGGCAACTACATGGAGTGTGGGTGGAGCTGAGGCGGCTGAAGGAAGCCCAGTTAATGCACCCACCTGTGATACACCCTTAATTATGCATACATTTAAGCCTTAATATAATTTAAACAAGTAATATAAAGATTTACCCTGATACATTTGTCATAAAGTGGGAAATTATCCCAAAACAGACCAAAACAGTTTTTGTAACAGGCTGTGAACATGTTTATTTCTGCTGTTAAGTTGTGCATTTTAATATGGGGCCTTATGGACATTGACTCATTACTGGAGCCAGCCTCTAGTGGCCGTTAGAAGAACTGCAGGTTTTGTTGCTCTAGAGATGGCTATGTCAGTCTATTGGTTCGTCAGTTTGTCGGTTGGCCCACCCAGAATGAAATATCTTAATATCTCCTGCAGTATTATTTAAGTTTTAATGTTACTTCAACGCCCCCTGGAAGCTGAATAGTATTGAAAATCCAAACCTAATGATGACCTGGTGGTGGGATTGAACCTATGACCTCATGTTTTTAAGACAGACATGCACTGAGGCAACGTATCACACAGCAAATAACTGTGTACATTGTAAAACACGTGTGAAGAATATGGATCCAGGATCACATTAGTTAGGTGTCCGTGTGACCTCCTCTCCAGGAAAGAGGACAGGTCCACTTTGTCTGGCGGTCTCCAGATATGTGACGTCACCTTTCGTGACAGGAAGGATGAAATTATTCATCACAGTAACTAACCTCTCTCCGTCTCCCACACACTCGTCTGTTTTGGACCCTTCTGAGTCAATTTTT